CAATCACAAAATTGCATGGGTTAAATTTTTGTGTTCCCTCCTGTTAATTTTGTGTTCCCAGTACGTTCCCTCCTGTTATAAGTCACCAAACTTGGAACATTTTGTGTATTTGTATCACCATCTCCTGTTTTGAGGTTATACGAAAGTTTATTGTCCTCATGAACATAAACAAATGTAGACTCTTCTTGATTATAAATAGGCTTGATGGTACTCGAACGAATATTAGTTTTATTAACCAAACCCAATGTGGGTCCTTGCTCTGTTGACTTCTTCTTCTGATGGATCATGTGACAATGATAATATACGATTGAATTCATATGCTGTTCTAGCTACAACTACAATATTATCCTTGTGTATTTCAAAGCCATCTCTCTCGAATTCGACAATAAAAAAGGAAACTGTAAGTCATTATTATTTGTGGTTATGGCTGCAAAATCTGACCTTGCTGAACCTTCACCACTATTTCCAGGGATGAGATGGTGAAGTTCCCAAACAGGAACAAAATTTGCATCATGGAGAGTGAAAGTGTTTGAAAAAATCTTGGCCTACGGCTCTGATTTAATATGATTCTCAGATGAAGAACTCCCGAGACCACAGCACAAAGTTGGTGTGTATAAAATTAAAGTCAAAACCACAAATATCACCGTCAAAGCATCTATTTCATAATGCTTATTTTACTCATTCCTTGATCAAAAATCTGTTTAATTAAAGTAAAAGATGGAATTCAGCCATGATCACTGCTTTTAATGATGGCTTTGTCTTTCAATTTTTGAAGTAATTCAATTGGTTGATGAAGTTGATAATTACTATGTTGCTTTAATACATTAGAAACCAGTTTAAAACAAAAACATGGAGTTGAGATGTTAATTAGTTGTGGACTTTCAATCCAATCTGCTTAATTGAACAGTTCGTAATTATGGCCAGGTGCTGTGAACGTTGGGAGTCTTCCTCCACATGATGGTTTTGTAAATCAAAAAGTAACTTGCAATATGTTTCCAATAATGAGCGCTTAACATAGTCGATAATAATTTTTTGATTCCTCACCTTTACGTACATGGTTTCCCAAACTCTAGGAATGTATATCATTTGGATCGTTAGTTATATTGTCACATCCATCAGATGACTTGTCCAGACTGTTAAGAGATGCACTAGAGTGACGACAAGTGTCGATAACCAATCATTCTTATAAATTTTTTGGGGTGGGGTGTTTGGATACAAATTCTGATTAGCTAATTTGAATTTCACGCGCGTCAAATATAGAGAGGAATGCTTGCAACAAACGGGATTGCAGGGTTCAAAATTTACCAGTATAATATATAATTATAAAATCAAAATCAAAATGACTATATAATATATATCATGCATGGACATAAATATCACCATTAACAACACAGATTCATACATTTTAACAATTAATGGAAATGTATACCATTTTCTGAGTGAAGAAATAAGATAATGACAGGTTTTCAAATCACAAATCAAAGTTATTTTGGCATAATTTCTATTTCATAAAATTATTTATTTAGAAATTAATTATATTATGCATAACTAATTTTTATTATAAAAAATAATTCAATATTTGTATCATTTAACCATCATCATTTATATGCTTGATCAATACATTTGAACAAATGTATTTCGTTGCCGTTTTGCAGGAGGCGTGAATTTTGTTTTATGAGTCTTGCAATACTTGCTCATACCTGCGACGTTTTTCACCCAAAATAGGAGAAGTTGCTTTGGTAGGTCTTTTATTGGATGGTTGTATTGTTATTGGTAGATAGTGTTTGACCGGATGTGCATGAGGAATCGATTCTGATCTTAAATAACGAATTTCTTCTTCTTTACGTCTCTATACAAATAAATATATTTTATATTATATATTTATATTTAATATTGTGAAATTTTTGAAATGACAAAAAAATTGTCTATATCATTATTACCTCTTCGTCTTTATATTTTTGTTCTTTAACAAACTTGTTATTTCTTTCTCGTTCTTTTCTTTGTTCATCAAACAATTTTCGACCTTGTACCCTAATGTCAGTATGAAAAAGAAATTCTACAGGTTCCGTTGGCTGTGGTTTCTCGGGTTTTTTAATTATCTCAGGTTCTAAGTTTGGCATTGGCAGCGCATGAAATTGATTCTCCTTTTCGTGTTCCAATTGACCCTTCAACCTTTCCTGAAATATTTGTTGATACCTTTCTCCTCGAATATCAGTCTCAAAAATAAATGGTCTAGGATGTGTTGTTGAATGATGATGTCGAGGTGGTAATCTCTAAAATAATAATAATGTTCTTATTCTTATATTCTGGTATAGATAATGATAATAATAATAGGTTTGCTTACGTCTTGTGTATCACTTGGAGCTGGTTGTGCTTTGAATAAACGAGTATTTTCCAATTCATCATGGTTTTGATCCAATTTTTCTTGTGTATTATCGTTATTTTCAGGAGAGTCTGCGTCTAAAGATTCTGTTACAGGAGGTTCGATCTTTTGTAATTTTGGTAAGCCTAAATCACTACATTCCAAAATCTTTAAAAAAAAACATCCTCACTAATAAATTTATAATCCATTTATATAACGATCAAGATAAATAATAAACTGGAATGAATAATACCTTTTGATTAGGAGTTTTGGCTTTAAATTGATTATTTTGATTTTGTTGTTCTTCAGTAAATAAAGAGGCACTAATGCACAAACATAACAAACAATGAATACAAGTCTCTTGATGTATCGAAATCTTTAATTAATTTTAAATGTACCTAGATGCTTTCGATTTGAGTGAACCATGTAACTTTGGAGATCTTGGAATAGTAAGCGGTTTCTTTCGTCCGCAATTAACCTTTATTAAATTTTAAATATTATTCTTCATTTGTTGAAGATTACTTTTTTTTTTTTCCTAAAAATAATTGGATATGATAAGAACCTTTTTATCACCGCCAAATGTTGATCTTTCGTCCTTTTTCAAAAAGTCTCTGACTTTAGCTGCTAACGGAACAAATGGTGATCTTTTTTGAATTTCATCATGACATGTTGAATTTGGGCGTGCAGCAGTACGAAACTTGAATGGTTTAGGTATTGTTGGCTTAAAAGATTTTCTACGTTTCTAAAAAAAAAATTTATCATAACAATAACAATTGGTTATTTACTATTTGTTTATTTATGGAATAATAAATATCATTCATCATTGTTAAAGTTTACACTAATTCCTGCAGGTTTTCTTTGCGATAAATAATCATTATTATTAGTAGTAATGATGGTGGAAGTTGACTCAATAATGGTTGAACCAGAATTTTTTCGAGAATCTTCTTCATGAACACTATCAAGATCATCATCATCAGGTAAAATAAAAGAAGTTAAGGGTGTTGTTTTAGTGTCAAAACTTTCCAGTTCAACATTTCCAACTCTAACAGGTGTCAATTTTTCCTTCACCATTTTTTTCGTTGTTTTTCGTTTATTGACACAAGATTATTCTTAAATAAATACTAGTATTATTAATATTATTAAATAATATAGTTATAAATTTATTGACAAACGAGCGAGAAAAATAAATCTGTTTTAAAACGTAAAAGAATAAATAAAAACAAAGTATTGTTTATCAATTTCAAAAAGTACGCGAAATGTTTATTACTTGTGTTACCTTTCCTATTTATTAAAATTTTTTTTTACAGGCTTACTTTTCTATATATAAAATTTTATTATTTTATTATTGGAGACAAACAAGAAGAAAAAATGTCTGATAGCGAATTTTTATTGATCTCCAAAAAATAAATGAAAATATTTATTAACAATTTTTTTTGAAATTAACTAGTATTGATTACGATACATATCCAATAGTAAGTTTAATGTAAAAAATAATTAAAGCAGGTTTAAATGTTGTGTGTGTGTATATATATATATATATATATATGAGGATGATTATATGGAAGATTTTAATGATGATGATTATGAAGATCAAGAACTTCCTAACGGAATAGAAGATGATTTAAAAGGAGATAATAAGGAAGGAGAATCTGAACAATTAAAATAGATGAATTACAAAATATTGGAGGTATTGGAATTTTTTCTGCTGGTGGGCTTGGTTTATCAGAACAGAAAAAAATCGATGATGAAAAAAAAGTTCATGCAAAAGATAAAACTACTACGCCATTTATGATAAAATATGAAAAGGCTAGGATATTAGGTACAAGGGCATTACAAATCAGGTAAGTTTATAATTGTGACTTTCATTATTATTATGATATTTTATGATTCCTTGTGCCTTTCTTTGGTTGGTTTACGTTATAATAAATAAATAAAAATTATATATATATACATATATATATATATAAATATAAAAAAGTATAAATGCTCCAATTCTTGTTGATCGTGGTGATGAAACAGATCCACTTGAGATCTTTAGAAAAGAACTTGATCAAAAAAAGATCCCATTAATGATTAGAAGGTTTTTACCTGATGGAAATTACGAAGATTGGAATATCAATGAATTAATAATCTAAAACAAATAATTAAAATTCGTCAAAATTGTTGTATTTTTATTTATTGCTAAACTATGGATGAAGTTTTGTTTGTTGATCGTCACAAATTACATATAATATATATACACAGGTAAACTCGATAGATAAATCAGCCCTCTCGATCAATTGTTTAAATTACTTGATAATATAATATAAATAAATGTCCGGCTTATCGAGTTTACCTGTGTATATATATTAATCTATATATATTTCAGATAAAAATATTCTATCAAATATATAATAAATTAAAAGTCTACTTTTTATTATCATTCATTCAAGTTGACTCTAATGTTATATACAACATGTCCATGGATAACTAACAATAGTTCACTTCCTGCTAAATTTTTTAACTTTAGTGATTTGTTAGCTTCATATGGGAATATTTGAACTTTCACATTAGAGTCTACTTTCTTGTCGTCTTTTCCACCAGTGCCTTCTGTCTCTTTTTCTTTTTTCTTATTTTTCAAATTATTTAAAAAATATTTCTCCATTTCAATACCTGATTCTTTTGTGACAAGAACACATGGTATAAAAATCGAACTAGAATCTGTTTGAGGTTGTGATGCTGGTTGAAATAAAATATTATCATTACTCGACACTATAACCGCTTTTGCGCCTGCTAATTGTGCATTCAAGACTTTTGTCACAAATTCACAATCACCTCGTTTAACAAGTAATACATTATCACGAATAATATCTTGTTCTTCTGGTGTATACACATTACATCCAAGTGGTGATGATGGTGATGATGATGATGGTGGTGGCGACGACGATGGTGGTGGTGGTGGCGACGACGATGATGATGATGATGGTGATGATGATGATGATGATGATGATGATGATGATGATGATGATGGTGATGGTGATGATGATAAGTAAACAAGATTTGAAAATGTCAACTCTTCTTCTTTTCCTCCCAATATTTTGGGCCCAAATGATGCCGTTGCAGATAGATAATCATAATAGCTGTTTGGGTCACCAGGATTCGGATAGACACGGATTATTGATACTTCATACGATTCTTGTTTTACCCAGTAATTTTTTACTATTGGATCGCGAATTTCTAAAACTTGTCCCGGATAAATCCTATATAATATAATATATAATATAATATGTGGATTAGATTCATTCGATACACTCCTTTTAAAGAAAACCTCTTAAGATTTTAAAACGAATTTTTAATTTCATATAATAGAAGGAAAAAAAAATTTTTAATTATCATGTAATTAATCCCATCTACTTAAGGCACGTGATTAGATATAGAGGTTTGAGTGCAATTGAAAAAATATCACAATACCACCTTACCTATAATCATTCACTACAAGAGATATTATGCAAGTTAACAAATACATGTCAAAAAACAAAATTTTAAATTTTTAAAGTTAGAAATTACCAGTACCTTTTGACACATCATAGCCTCTTTTATCTACTCTTCTTGATAATTCTAAACGTAAACCTTTCAAGTTATTGGTAATAATTCCATTATTAAACCATATTAATTGATTTGATAGATCGTTAAGAACATCGGCTTCACCAAATGAAACTTCCAACACTAACGGGCTTGTTTGGGGCGTTTCACATTTTCCATTAGGATCTAAGGGTGGCAATCTCGACTCTTTATATCCCACCAATTCCCCAGCATAATCTACGTCAGGTCGTGCCAGTATCGAACCACTAATTCCTTTTGGTTTTTCATATACATTACATACCAAATCCTCATTTCTGACTGAAATTCTTTCAGTATCCGAATTCTTTTTAAGATATTGTCTGGATAAAGGTAAAATATGTGCCTCTAGAAAGGATATATATATATTATCAAAAAAATTTTTTTTGAAAATTACAATAATCACATATGATGTACATACATATGCTAGATACATACCAGTTGTAAAGACAAAATTATCATCCAACAAATTAATCATATTATCTTTATTAATGAAAATTTGATTAGACGATTCTTGCAATAAACAAAGTGTTATTCATTTATTTATTATATGACTGTAAAAAATAGTTTACCAGTATCAAATAACAAATATAAATATTTAAAGGTTTCACTCAAAACAAAAGTTTCCATACGATCATCCAACTTTTTGGTCAAAACATTTTTGATGGAAGTATATCCACACTTAACACGAGCGTATGTTTCCAAATCTTGAAGGATCATTTCACCTACCTCAAGATAAAAAGGATCACGTGTCGCCTGCATAAATAAAATGAAATTATGTAGAATAAAATTTTCATTAGCTAGCTAACTAACTAACTGACTAACATTAGATATATTAAGTCCTATGTATATAAAGAAAAACTTCTTACTCTATAAAGAAAATAAGTTGATTCTACAAACTCCGGTCTTAATGGATATGATGCTATTTCAACATGTTTCATATAAAAGTTGAATCTCTCAGGCATTGCTTGATATTTTTTCCATATATTATAATATATCAAGTGTGATTTAATAGCGTTATCTAAATCTCCAGCCAAAACCTAACCAATCAATCAAACAAACATATATAAAATTTTTAAATAAAAGGTTTCCTCCTATAAACATACACCATATATATACTCGTATAATATAAATATGAATATGAATATGAATATGAATATACCTGTAATCCTGATAAAAAAGCGGACAAGCTGTCAATCCAATTTGACATTACACTACCACTCATCATATTAACATTACGATATAAGTATCCTGTTTCGTCACGAATATGCCTTAATATTGCCGAGTATGCTTCATTGAATATTTCAAAGTATTCAATTTCACCAAACAACACATATGCTTTCAATAAATACTCAAAAAATGAATCGATTCCTGCTCCTGTGCTAGATGCTGTATGAACCCATTGTCCTGTCTGCATATTTATAACATTTCCAACAAGATTCAAATCTGTTCTTCTATTCCAAAGACCAAATAATGCACCTCTTGCTGCATTCTATTGACCATAATACATATATAAAAATAAATGCAATTATATGATATTCATTATAATTTTCTCAAATAAATAATAATGTTATCCATATTATTCGTTATAATAAATAACTACTTCAAATCTTGGATCATTTGTTAATCTACTAAGAACACCAAACTCCAGTATTAATGATCCTGCTCCAGCAGTACAAGTTTCATGTGTTTCAGTTTTAGGTACGCCATACCTCAAATTAACCTTTGAATTTTTTTTTAAAAAAAAAAAAATAAATATTAAATATTAAATAATAATTCAATAAATTTTTTCTCAATGAGTTTTATTTTTTAAAAAAAATCACCCTCGGATAAGGAATACCAGTCCTTGAATTTTGAAATGCAGGCAATAATCTTTTACCCAAATCTAATGCGAGATCTAATAATTCATTATTATATTTTGGGATCGTAAATCCAAATCTCGAATCACTTGCTAATAAATGCGCAGATAACTAATGAAAAAAAATATTAAAAGTTGTATTTGAAAAAACACACCTTTTTTTTAAATGAAAAAAACTTACCAAACCGCCTAGCGCACGAATATTTAGTTCAAATACTTGTACTTTACTATTTACATCAAACGAGACATTATCAATCACATTTTGAACAGCATCTTGAAAGCCCTTTGTATCATTAAAAACCTAAAAGTAAAGATTCAAAATATTAAAATATTAAACATTATTGCTGTCAATGTCTTTTTGCAATTTTAAAGATCATCATCAATTTATTAAAACTCACTATAAATGTATCAAGAGTATCAACTAACGTCAAGGAATAATCACCTAAAACGTCATTAATGGGATTATGTCTAATAAGAGAAGGGGAAAAAAATGAAATCGAAGAAAAAACAATAATTTAATATATAACATTAAAAGATTTTAAATCATCAACTTTTAATAATACACTTGCAAATTAATCCTGTCACTTCCTTTTCCAACACAATGAATTGGATTCAACTAATAAATATAGTGTTAATAAAAACATGCACAAATAAATAAATTCACTGATATAAATAGACAAATTCACACCTCATCATATGGAAATGCATATTTCATGTAAGAATCAAATCCATGATAAAACATTTCCTAGGAACACATTAATTATTCAGTGAAGCCTAATATAGTCATTTAGTATTTACAACCTTCTACAGACTCATTTGAATTATTATTGTTATTAATATTAATATTAATATTTTCTATACCTTAGCTTTCAACCTAAAGAAGATGTGTGAGTATGCAACTATACGTGTAAGTATTACAAGTCATTCAAAGATTGGTTTTAATTAAAATCAAATCTCAATTATTAAACTTACTTTAGTTCCTGTCTTCGTTCGTTTGTGATTGAATTTGCTTCAGGAAGTAAAAAGAACAACACCACTAAAGATATCCAAGAAGATCTAAGGTAGACTCGAGTATACCACATTTGAAATTCTTATTTTATTATTTGATATGTAAAATTTTTTGATCAGTAAATTCTGTCTAAATGCTTAGTCAAATTGGTGCCCCTTGATCAAATTCCCGTGTAACCCACAGTTATAAAAAAAACTGTGCCATTAATATTAAAAGCTTTTATAATTATTCAAAAACAGCATTACTTTTCGCTTCAAAACTAAGATTTTTTACCAACATTACTTGACAAGTAGTTGAAAAGATACAAAATATTATAGGCTTCCAATATGGTGAGTTTCAATTTAGCACAAGTTTCCAAAATTTGTTATACCAAGATTTAATTAGTATTAGCATCATTAAATCCATTATATTGAGAGAATTTACTAATACCATTATCATTTACTATTACTATTGTTAAATCAAAAAGACTTTTACCAGGCATCCACTAAATTGAACATTTTTTGTACAACAGAAGAATTGAAGGATAAAATGGGGCATGCTGCAACAAAATCAGACAAAGTGAACATTTGCACTAATAGGGATTTCAGGGATCAAAAAATTTAGTTATCATCAATATGATTTTATAACATCACATTCACATTTATCATAAATATAGGAAGTAAATTATTCAT